ACTATGTTATGTAAAAGCTAACGATCTTCAACATATGTGAAATTTAGAGTGGAGTAATGTGGAGTACTCGTGAAAGAAGTAGCGGATCACAGCTTGGTCATGATAAGCGGAACATACCTGCAATCGACACCGTCTTATTTCACTCAAATTTGAGAAGCTTTCGAAGAAAATACTTGAGTGATATTCCAACAGACAAAATAGTATTGAGTTGTGGGCCAAAAATATCAAAAAGGCCTTCAAAATACGCTACTGGTGGCTCAAAAATAAACTAAGAACTTGATTTCCGGTTCGTCGAGAGGATATTTTTGGCAGGCATTAATTGCACCGGAAGCGCGAAAGAAGCGCTCGTGCCAGTCCCTCTCCGCATCACACATTGCACCAAGAGAGGACTGCCCGCTTCACCGACCGGCCTTTTTCCGCCCTGATAGGCCCGAGGTCTTGACAGTACGGACGTTGGTGCGTTCGGTCAATACAAAAAAAAGACCGAAGGCCGATAATTTCCCAGTAAGGTTCCTAGCTAGCTTGGTTAATAAGAGATTTATTTCACGACTGAAAATGTTAAGAAAAAATGCCACGATCACAGACTCAGTAGAGAAAAATCTCAAACTTCAAGCGCGTAATTCTGCTAGGCGTTCACTCACGTCAGATGTTAAACAAAACAGAAGAGAAAGAGAGTCAAAAGAAAGAGAAAGAGAATCTTCTAGGCAGGTACCAAAGCAAGTTCTTTCAGAATCGTAAGCCATAAAACGACAGAAAATTTTCAAGCGTGATCGTAAGCAGGGACTGGTATTTTGAACAGGAGAAGTTGCTTGCAAGACCACCGAAACGGAATTGAAGTAATATATACAACACTCAAGACCGTGTTTGACCACATTTCCAAACACTGGGAAGAGAGTTGAAAATACGACGCGCAGCGGAGTATTTTTGACGAACTTCCCTCCAGAAGCAACAATTACATTTGAGACAGCGTTATATTGTAATAGGCGATGATAAAAAAATGGCAGGTGAATTGTAGTCTGTTACTTATATTTTCGCATAATCATTTGCCTCCATTGTATTTTTCTCTTTTTTTTT